ACTGTGCTGAGCGCAGAGCCTGATGATGCAGGGACAGATCCCACAACCCTGAGATCATGACCTGAAATCAAGAGTTGGACCCTCAACCAAGTGCCCCCAAGCTGACAGTAGGTTTAATCCTCTTGGAAAACCGCTCAGAGTAAAGACCTGGCTGCTGGGGGCAGAGCAGACACCTGGAATTGGGGGGGTTTGGGGTGGATGCCAGTATCTCACTCATGGAGGCTATTAGGGCTCCGTCTTACCTGGTGCAAAACCTGTTGAGCTGTGTGTCTGCTCTTCCTCCCCACAGACTATCTGATCAATGTGATGGATGCCCTGGGCCTGCAGCCATCCCGCACACTCCAGAACATCGTGACGCTCTTGAAGACCAAACCTGAGGATTACAGGCAGGTCAGCAAAGGCCTGCCCCGTCGCCTTGCCACCACGGTGGCTGCCATGCGGAATGTGGACTACTGACCACCCCCTGCACCTGGTTGAGAAGAGGCCCAGAGCTGGGGTTTTGGGGTCACAGCAACTCTTCAGAATGGATTTGCTCAAAAATTCTGCCTGGTACTAGGCAGGATTTCAAAACGACTTGCTTCATTTGTATAATCCCCCTCCCCCAAAAAAAGTTGTAAATTAGAAGCATATTATTCATTAGAGTTTTCAGATGATTTTCTAAATGATCTGATCTTGCAAACAGAATTGATAAATACTGTGAAATGAAAGAAGGCTGTTTTTCTCCCTTTGCTCAGTGAATATTTGGTGCCTCCCATGTGCCATCTCTACACACGGGACACCGGCCGGGAAGGAGGGAGAGAATCCCCAGATAAACCAACAAAGAAGATGATGTCAGAAGGTGGTGCCAGGGAAAAAAAGTGCGTCCAGGTGGAGGACAGCCCCCAGATCAGAGCCGTGCATGGCAGTGAGGGACCAGTGCCTACCAGGCCCTGGGGCATGTCCAAAAGGTCAGTGGCTTGGAAGTAAGAAGTCACATCAGAGGGGAGGTGGGGGCCAGATCACAGACCGACCTGTAGGCTGAGTTGAGGACTTGGGCTTTTACTTTGTCTTGTTTTACAACTCACAGGATGATGTGGACTCTATCCGATTTTTTTTTTTTTTTTTTTTTTTTTTTTGCCAGTAGCTTTAATTGTCCACAGGGAACAGAATAATATAATTTGAGTGACTCAAGCAAATAGGAGTTGAGTTTTTTCAGGATTGAGAAGTCCCACTGCACAGGCGTGTGCCCTGACCCAGTGGCTGTATGGGGTCAGGACCAGGACCGGCTTCCCTGTAATCCTGACCTCTTCCTTATGTGCTGGCTGCCTCCTCCCAGTGGGGCGACTCCTGCAGCTGCAGACATCACATGGCACTTAGTGGGGACGAAGGCAGAGCAGGTGCTGTCCCTTCCACCCTGGAGGCAAAGGCCTTCCTAGCGGCCTCCATGGCTTTCTCCTCCATCTCCCTGGCCGGTTCTTGATCACCAGACATCCTCCTGGCTGCCAGCGAGGCTGGGAGTGAGGGGAACAGGACTGCCTCTGGCCAGGGTTCTCAGTCTCTGCGCTCCTGTTGCTTCTGTCGTCTTGGGAATGGTGGCTTTTTGTTGTGAGGCTGCCCTATGTGTCCTAGGATGTTCAGCAGCATCCCTGAGCTCTGTCCACTAGGTGCTGGTGGCCCTCCCCAGCTGTGACAGCCAGAAAGGTCCCCAGACCTTGCCCGAGGACCGGACTCTCCTCTGCCACGGAAACCCTGGCTGGAACCAAGCAGGATTGATGATTTGAGCTAGGAGCACTGGTGCCGTGAACAAGCTGGGTTTCTGTTAGCAAGGGAGACAGGGGACGCCACCCTGTCTGTGGGGTCCTTTATTGGAATTGATGTGTAGTGTGTTTCTGCTTCTGTGTAAACTTTACTTCTCTTTCTCTCTCTCTCTCTCTGAGGCCTCTGCAACCTCAGGGAATATTAGCCCCAGCTCACACACAAAGGAACTGAAGTGTGGGAGGTTTATAGGGCTTGCCTGAAGTCACTGGGGTGCCCCCAGCACCTGTACTCCTGACCACGGGACCCACAGACTCCCGTGAACCAGCCCCTGCAGGCTGCTGACACACCACTGCCACGCTGGCTCTGGCATCCAGGGGTTCCCAAATGTTCTGTCCCCACATCCCAGGAATCAGTTTTGCTGGCCCTGAAAGAACCCACACCAAGAAAAATATTTTGGTTTCTCATGTGGTAGATCACACACTGTCCCTGGCAGAGATCAAGCCTGGCTCCTGCCTTAAAGAAGGGAGAGCCGGAAACCAGGAAGGCAGAATGTGCTATGGAAAGTGGAAACCTCTTTGGGATGACCTTTGTGCCAGTGTCCAGGAGAGCTCCTTGATTCCTGGCTTCGCCACCTCCTAGCTGTGTGACCTTGAGGAAGTCACTTCACTTCTCTGAGCCTTGTTTCCTTTTGTGATAAATAGGAGCCACAGTGATACCTAACCAGCGTTACTTGAAGAGCCAGTGAGGTACGGTGGTGGTAAGCACATAGGAAGTGTACAGTAAATGTTCATTTCATAGTCTCCAGCGTCTATAACCTACCTTCCCTTTTGGGGGTAAGACATGGGAGTTACAGAATGTTTTTTTTTCTGGGCAGTTAGCCCCTCAAGCTTGGTTCTTCAGTGCTAAAAGGCCCTGATGGCCCTACGGTCGGAACAGGACAGAGCTCTTTTCCATATCTGTCTGACCCAGAGCCTGCTTTCAGAGAGCTTCACATGCTCTGCAATGTTCCCCTGAGAGCAGGGAGGGCAGCCGATGCCTACTGTTGGCCTGGAACCGGTCTCACACATCCACACACAGCTCTGGCAGCAGGGAGTACCCTTCCCACTCCTGCTTCAAAATGTCTCTGACCAGAAGCTCTCAGAGTTCAGGATGACTATGTGGCCCAGGCTGATTCAGTGACCCTCTTTCTCCGGGCTTTTGCTGGGACACTCTGAGGGAGGAGCTTCCTTCCTGCTATTTAGTTGCTGAGCTGAGGAGATGGAGCCTGGAACGGTGCAGGGAAGAGCAGCACAGGAGAGAACTTATTTGAGGGGGACAGCAACGTGGAAGAAAAGAAAGCCGGGAGGTGGAGAAATCACCATATCTAGGTGAACCCCTGGATAAAGCCATACATGAAATCCTTCGACTCTTATTACAAGGACCAATGGATTCCCTTTTCTTAGTTTAAGTCAGCTTGAATTAGTGTGACCGAAGAGCTGGTAAAGGGAGCTCAATAATAATCATTGCTTTGCCTGCCCCACAGCATCAGATGAGACTGCAAATACGAAAGCTCTGGGCTCCTATAAGGGACTAGTGTTCTCAGGTCTACTGGCCGTGAGGGGCTGAGGCTGGAATTTTGCCTTCGCCTCTTACTGGAAGAGCGATCTGGGGCATCCGACTTTACCCCTCAGAGTCTCCATCTACATATGCATAAGGTGGGATGGCAATACTTCTCAGTCATGAGAATTAATTGGAAAAAGACCTACTAAGTACTTGGCCTGGCGCCTTGCCTGTGGTATCTGATACAATGTTGCCATTGTTTGATAACGACAACAAATAATAGCGTGATGACAACTATCACTCATATAAAAGTAGTAGTCATGGGAGTCAGCGTGGTAACCACCAAGAGCTGGCCTCCAGCCTGCAGACCCGCCTGGCCCCAAGCTGGGAAACCCTCTTCCTCCAGGCCCTCCCCACACTGTCGCTCGCAGTGCTGCCTTTGGCTGGAGTGGCTCCAAGTCTGTGGCACCACCTTCCCCCACAGGTGCCACTGTGGGCACTTAATGGGAGGCCTGCTTGTTTGCCTTCCCCGCCAAGGACACAGGTGTTTGGGACCAGCAGGGTTGGGCCCTCTGATGCCCAGGCTCTAAAGCCAGAGCTCCTCATGACTGGGGCTGGCACTGGTCAGCTGTGCCAGACCTCTTTCTTCTTTGGCAATGGCTCCCTGATCTCTCTTTGGAGAGCCATCCGGGTTCCCTTCTTGAGCAGTTAAAAATACAGGACACTCAGTTAAATCTGAATTTCAGAAAAACAACAAATGATTTTATTTGATTTTTAATATGTCCGAAATATCTTTTTTTTTATTTTTTAAAACATTTTTATTAAAACAGCAAGAAAGCAAGTGTGTGTGCACATGCACGAGTGGGGGAGGGGCAGAGGGAGGAGAGAGAATCTGAAGCAGGCCCCACACTGAGCACAGAGCCTCACATGGGGCTCTGTCTCACCACCCTGAGATCATAACCTAAGCAGAAATTGAGTCAGAGGCCAAACCTACTGAGCCTCCCAGGCACCCCTGTCCCAAATATTACATGGATGTATTTATACTAAGAAATCAATTCGTTGTTTATCTGAAATTCAGATTTACCTTGGGGTCTGTATTTTATCTGGCAATCCTTAGAGCCATGTCCCCACCGTCCGGGACCACGTGATTCTGCTGGGGACAACCTGGCCTCAGGTATGGGCAGGGTCTGCCCAACCCAAGCAGCCTATCCAGCCGGTCACACAGATTGTTCAGAGATGAGCATGTGACCCAGTCAGTTACCAACGACAGTCAGCCTGAGACCTTGCTGAGACAATTGAGAACGAGGTATTCTCCTAGCTGTTGGCTGAGCTGGAGAGAGGGTGAGTTTGGACTTGCCCACAGGCTTTCAATGTCAGGGGAGCCCGACTGGGACAGACTGGGTGACTGGGAGACATCATTTGAGCTGGTTGAGGTTCTTTCACTTGAAAGAATCTTGAGTATTACTCTTTTTCTCTCTTTCCTTGCAACCCAAAGAAGTATGGTGGATGGCATTAAGTCCTAAGACCACTGCTTTGGGGACAACTCGAAAGGGACTTTAAAAATCACCTGCTTGGGAGCCTTTCCTTGGCCAGGCCCTGGCTTTCAAGCCAGTAGGAATGCCGTCCCACCCCTGGAGATGAATCAGGGCACTCCAGCTGCCCAGTCCGACAAAGAACAAAGCTCAGCTGCATGTTTTCTACTTTTATTTTCTAGAACAAAATATATGCCACCTGGCAGCAGCCCCCCTCCCCCACCCCACCCCTGGGCCTCATGCTCTTTCTGCTTTCCACAATTACTGCCCTTACCAAACCCATTTGCAGAGGTCAGCCAAGGCCAGGACAGAAAAGATTCTGGGGACAGGCAGCACAGCATGTCTGCCTGTTTGTCCCTGGAGCAGATGGTGGTGGCACTGGGAAGAAACTAGCCAGCCTGCAGGTGAGGGTATTCTAGGGTCTCTGGAGCCTGGCTGCGGACATCCCGGCCAAGGATTGGGTCAGGTTGGAGGTGTGGGCAGGAAACCAAAGGAGTATGCACTTCCCACATCTATACCAGCACCATGACCCTACAGAGCCCTCTACCTGGGACTGGCCAGGAGCTGCTGGTCTCTCTGCAGAGGGAAACAAGACTCTGGCCTCAGATCCTGGCTGTTTGGAGAGCACCCCGAAGGGAAGCCTTCGGGCAATGATCTCAGCTTCTCGGGTCTGAGTTCTGAGCTCCCTGGGTCTAGATGGCATCGCCCTCACTGTCAGACTCGATGACATCCAGTGGCTGCAGACGGAGGGAGTCATAGTTGGGGGGTGGGGTGCCTGGGATGGGCAGGGTCTGCTCATCAGGGTAGGTCCCAGGATCGGGGCCAGGCCTGGCCACATCAGGCTGGAAGCCAAAGTTGGTGTGAGCCTCCACCAGCTCAGCCACGGTGGGCGGCGGGCCAGCATAGCGAGCCTGGGCTCGCTTCTGCCGCAGACTCTTGGTGAAGGCCACCAGCTTGATGATGGTGATCCACACAAAGTCGATGAGAATCTCTCCAAATTCAATGAGGCACAGCACTGAGCCTCCCATCCAGAAGCCAAACTGGCCACCCAGGTTTGAGAGCAACCAAACGATCTGTAGGGAGCAGGGGTTTGACAGCCTGGTGGGGTTAGGGGTCAGGCTGCACATTCCTGCCCTAAGCCTCCCCTTACAGCTTCCTGTGAGGTGGGCTATTGGCCAGGAAGGGGGATGGGGTGACCATCTCGGCACAGGGAAACTAGTTGGGACTCCTTTAGGGACTCCCCACCCTCATGATGCAAGGGGGAGGGGCAGCAGAACAGGGTTGAAGCGTTGGGAGCCCCCAGACTCACATTATTGGCTGCCGACTCCTCAATGGTGCGATAGTTGAATTCTTGGAAGTAGATGTTGAGCTTGACAACTCCCTTCCTGTAGGGGCAGCAAGAAGGGCTGGTGCCCCCTCCCCAAGACACACAAACACACATATACAAGCACCCACGCTCACAGGAAAGGCAGCCAAGGGGCTGCCCCAGTCCTCTGGCTGGGCTTCTTGCATGTCCACAACCAGGGGCGGTGAGGTCCAAGCAAGAACCCAAAGTGCTGCCCCTCCTGGGCCCTCTGGACCTTGGAGGGCCACAAAGAGCATCTCTGCCCAGCATCCTTCCTGTGGGCCCCAAGGAACAGCTCTGAGCTCCCCTCTCCCACCTCAGGGGGCCCCAGCCCGTACTCAGTAGGCTCTGCATAGAGTCCTAAGCCTTGCTCTTTATCAGGGGACAGATAGCTCCTTCCCTGCTGTGCTCCCCAAGGAAGGGTCTTCTGCAGACTCTCGTCACTGTTGGCATACTCCTCTCCTCTACACTGGGCTTCCTGAGAGTATGGACCTGTGTCTTTCCTGTGCTCAATTTGGGTTTGTGTTTGATGGATGAAAAGATGGAGAAATGGGTTAAGGATAAGTGGGTGGATGGATGAGTGGAAGAATGGATGACTGGATGATGGGGGGATGAATGGCTGAATAGATGAATAGGAGAAAGATTAGATGGATGAATGAATGATAGATGGGTGGAAGACTGGAAGGATAGGTGGATGGGGGAATGAGTAGGATAGATAGGTGGGTAGAGGAGCAAATGGATAGATGGATGGATGGATAATGGAGGGATGAATGGATGGGTGGGTGGATGGATGGATGGATGGGTGGGTGGATGAGCAGGTGACCTATGGAGGAACAGCCTCTCCTTTGGGAGGTGGTAGACCCTGAATTCCATTGGCTGGCTTCTCTCTCATTCCCCAGTCCTTCTCCTCCAGGGTTCCTCCTGGATCTGACCAGTTTGAGAAGGTGTCTGAGTAGCTGCCCTATATCCCAACCCCTCCCCTGAGGCTCAGGTTCCTCCCATTTTCTGCATTTCCCCAGCCCCACCCAGACTCTAGGCTCACCTGCTCAAGGTGATATTGGTGCTTTGGTCCCGCTCCTGAGACAGGACGTGGAAAATCCAATCCTGGGATCCAAGAGGGCAGCTGAAAACTATGGCACCTGCAGCATCCCCTCCCAACCAGGGGCCCTGCTGTGGGTCAGGGGCCTGCAGACCACAGCCCCGAAGCTTCCGAAGGCCCCCTGAGACCATGTGTTGACACCAAGAGGAGGAAGGTAAGAGTGCATGCTGGCTGCTGTTACAGGGAGGAAGCTCTCTGGGTTCCAGAAGCTTTCCCCAGAGGCCTCGCCATCCTACACCAGCTCTTTCCCACCTGGGGCCCTTGCATGGGCTGTTCCTCTGCCCAGGCTGCCTCAGCCCCTCTAGCTTTAACTCAAATGCCACCTTTGCAGGGAGGTCTTCCCCGACCCCTCTGTCTAAAGCGCTTTCCCCTGGTTACTCTGCACGCATCCTCTTTACCTGCTCCCATGATCACACTTGGAAATGGTCTGATTTCCGTACGTTGTCTATCTCCCCCACTAGAATGCAAGCTCCCTGAGAGCAAAGGACTGTGCCCTTCTCATTCACTGCTGTGTCCCCGGCACAGTGCCTTGGGGGACCCTGGTGGAAGGACCAATAGCCTGCAGACCTAGGCCCAGACCTGTCCCCAGCCCAAAGATGGGTGGCCAGGAGCCGGGCCACCCCAGTGCCTCACCTCAGAGGCCTCAGAAGGCCAGTCGGCCATGGAGATGGTCATCTTGTACTGGGTGTCACTGGAAGAGAGAAGGCAGCTCCATGGCTGTCGCTGTCCCTGCCAGCACCACCCCTCCCCCAGGCTCCCCAATCTCCATGTCCCCACCCCTAGCCCCTGGTCTCTGTGGCCCCCACTCCCGACCCCTTGGCTCTGCACCCCTATCCCTGTCCCCCAGTCTTTGCACCCCCATGCCTGCCCCCCCCAGTCTCTGTGTCCTCCCCCTGGTCTCCATGCCTCCCATCCCTGCCTGCCCTGGTCTCTGTACCCCCACCCCTGCCCTCCGAGTCTCCACGGCACCTATCGCTGCCCCCTGAGTCTCTGCACCCCTCACCCTTGCCCCACCATGCCCTCCCCTCAGGTCTCTGCACCCACACTTACTTGCAGGACTCCTTGCACATGTTGATGCACGTCTCCCTCTGGGCCACGCTCATGCGCAGGTGTGAGTAACAATAGGCTGAGCAGGATGGGGTGGGGGTGAGAGACTTAGATGAGGGTTTCTAGAGGTCTTCCTCTCTCCCTTTGAGCCTCTGGTTCCCCCTGCCCTCCTGGCCATGGCCCCCAAGGCCCATGATTTGATGGTAGGTGGGGGAGCTGTCTGTCCAAGTTCTCCTGCCATAGAGGCTCAGCCCTTCCCTCCCTGTCTCCATGTCCAGCTGTTTCACCCCAGCCTGGCCTGGAGGAGCCTCTCCCCAAACATCCCAGACTCAGCCCAGCAGGGTGTGAGCAGCTTCCCCTCTGCCGGGGGGCCGGGTGCTGGGGTCCTGCACCTTGTGCATGAAGAGATGGGAGGTTGAAACGGAGAGGCTCCCCCTCTTGGCTGCATATTTCATTGGTTTTAAGTGGGGCTGGGCCTCTCTCTGCCTCTGACAACATCCATTATATTTGGACAACACCAGGGCTCCTGCTTCTGTGGCTTTGGGCCTCAAACTCTTGGGGGCCACTTCAGTCTCCCTTCCCACCCAGCACCCCACGGAGAGACCCCGTGAGCCCACAAAGACACAGACAGCATGCTGTGGCCATGTGGGTGCATGCACGTACACATCTATGTGGGCACACGAACCAGCGTACACAGATGCAAACTCTGGAAACAATCCATACACAAGCATGAACACACGTACAAATGCATTGCAGTCCCGAGTGCTCCTGTGCATTAAGACTCAAACATACAGATGCCCTCTCCTGTGTGCATGAGGAAATGTCAACACACACACGTGCCCTCGCCAGTAGCTGCACACCCAGCTCACGTGTGTGTAGGAATTTACGTGGCACACATAAAGCAGGAGGGAGGGGGGCTGTGGGCCATGGAGGCTCAGGCCTGGCCACACCCCTGGCCCCGCTGAGGACACACAGCTCTGTCCCCTGCTCTGTGGTCAGAGCCCGGGCAAGCAGGGGCACAGCTGGCCAGGGCCCCGACTCACCCCAGTCTGGAAACTCCCGGTTGTTGCAGTATCTCTCCCCACGGGGCAGCGGGTATAGGTAGTGGGCACAGCTGCAGTTCTGGATCATGTGGTCTTGGAAGCAGGAGCGAATACAGGCCTGTGGTGGGAGGGCGGGAGAGCATGGATGTGACTGTGGTGTCCCCAACCCAGCCCCAGGGGGAGGTCGTCCCGGGAGCCAAGGTGCCAGGGGAGGGGTCCCTCCGGCTGAGGAGCTGCACCGCCTGACCCTCCCACCCTCAGGATGTCGCTGTCCCTCTCATTCCCTGGTCCCCGCAGAGGGACTCAGGCCAGGCCCAGCTCTCAGAGGATGGCCCTGCCACCTTTCAGAGCTGGGGTCTGCACGTGACATGGAGAGGGGCAGCTTGTTCCAAATCCTACAGCCAACATTCTGATGGTTCTTATTAACAGGGCTGCCAGCCTTGATGGAAGAGAAAGTGAGCAGAATGTCCCCTGGTGGGGACAGGGGGAGGAAGAGTGGGGATGGCACCCTGGGGACTTTGTGGGCCGAGTCTCTACTCGTGCTAGGGTTTCAGGTCACCCCGACCTGGTTCCAGTGCACTCAGAGCCCAACTATGTGTCCTGCGGTCACTTGTGGGTGGAGCAGGGTGACAGTTGCACCTGTGGGCTAAGCCAGAGGGTCCTGGCGCTGCCTGGGGATGGAAGTGGCTGTTACTCATGTGTCTCTGCTTGTCCAGTTTCCCAGGTCCTGCATGTGGTGGACCCTTAGCCCCAACCCTTGGTATCTCCTGCTCCTGGCTCTGCTGCGGGCTTTTCCCCTCGCAGCCCAGCACATCTGCTGCGGGCTTCTCCCTTCGCAGCCCAGAACAGCCCACAGGTCTGTTCTCCCCAACAGACCTGTGGCCTCCCTGCGGGCACAGCCAAGAGAAACAGAGCTGGGGCGAGGGTGCCAGTAGGGTCGGACAGGGAGCTCTGACTTTGGGCAAGGGTCTTGCATTCTTCACTGTGAGACTTCACTGTCTCACCTGGAAAGGAGGAGTCCTCTCCAGGCCCCATGACAGAGGCTGGTGGAGGGGCTGGGGGTAGGGGTGAGGGATGCAAGCAGAGCATGTGACCAGGGTCTGGGTCTTTCCCAAGGTCTCTGGCCAGAGGGGTGGCTGCCCTGGATGAAGCAAGAGCTGAGCTTTTTCTGGAATGAGGTCTCTATAAGGCTGAGCCTGCTTGATGCCTCTGTGGCCTCCCTCTGTGCTGCCTGTCTATCCCTTCATTATCCCTTGGAAGGTTCCCCCAAGTTCCCCATTGCAGGCAGAAGCCCCTCCAGATAGAAGGCTGCCACACCGGCTGGGTCAGGGTGTGGGGCGCACAGGTCAGCTGGACAGGGTGGGCAGGAGGGTAGGCGGGTGGGGGGCATGGATTTCCGGGGCCCACAGGCACAGAGGCAGGCTTTCCTTATCTGCAAAGGCAGCCTGGGCTGGGAGAGAAGTATACACCAGTGATCGCATTCATCACCTGTGCAGAGATTTTAGATTGTCCTTTCCACTGGGGTTGAGTCTTGGGACAGGCCTCTCGGTGGAAGGAGGAGGGATGGAGGCCGGATACCAAGAGGGACTTCCCAGGTAAGTTGATGAGGCCTTTGTACTGGGGCCTATACACCCTGATTTCCTCATTCCTAATAATATTATCTACATCTTAGCATCATTGTGAGGATTAAGTAAATCTATGTATGTAAAGCACCCAGAACAGTGCCCGCCTAGCACATGATGAGCCTGCTACTCTCTGTATATTAATACTTACATCAAATAAATGATATATATATATATATATAAAATAAATGCCATTACTAGTATGTTAATAAATGCTATTACTCCCTTGTGGGGCATAGAAAGGACCAAAGGATGACATAACACATGTGAGCCCCTTAGCACAGCATCTCTCCCACACCAGAGTTCTTCCAGGGAGACCCCAGAGTGAGATCCCTGTGTTCTGGGCATCCCCAAGGGCACAGAGGGGTGGGGACAAGCAGTGGCCAGCCCTGGGCCCTGGTGAGCACCCAGGGATGGGACTGGTTCCATAACCCCAAAGGCCACAAAACCCGCCAAACCACCCTGTGGTCACCAACAAAAATCTAGTAGAGCCAGCCCTGCCAGGACCAGCTCCCCCAGAGCTCTGAGGCCTCGGGCCTGGTCCATGTGGACGACCATGGTCCCAGGGTCCTGAGGCCTGCCCTGTCTTCCCACCTGGATCGAGTAGGTCGTGTTGTAGTCACTGTAGAGGTTTCGCACAGGGACGTCGGAGCCGTTCATGGTGCACTGGCTGTAGGGCTCCCCCTTGCGCTCCAGCCTGTCCTGTGTCCAGAGAGGTTGCCTGGAGGTCTCAGTCACCCCTAGAAAGCCCCCATTGTACCTCCCTCCCATCAAGCATGGGGGTCGGTGGGGATGCCAAAAGGGGATGGAGAGCCACAGGCCCCGGGAGGTGCCAGAGGATGCCCATCTTCCCCCCCAGCGTGGCTGCCCTGGCGGGGGGGGCTCCAGCCAGAAGACAAGGCAAGAACAGACCCCAAGGGAGGTAGGCTTCCACCCTTAGCTCCCCTAGGGCTGCGGCCATACCACCAGCACTCCGATGGATGTCTCTGTCCCTGACATGGCATAGATGCCCTCATCTTTGATGAAGGGGTACGATCTCTGCTCATGGAGCATCAGCCGGGCACCGGCCGTGGACGTGAGGAAGGGCACATAGTCTTCCTGGCCTATGTCCAGGATCAGCTTCAGGCCTGTGGGAAGGGGCTACTGAATTCGCATCCCAAGGCTGAAGGGAGACCCACCATCCACCTGTCCAGGTCCCCTCCCCACCCAGCCAAGGCGACCTCCAGGGTCCACCTAGGAAGCTAGCTCTATTTTGAGAAATTGAGACTTCTTGCCTTCTACGAGGCCCCCATCCTAGCTCAAGCTACTATGTCTCTTCCCAGCCCCATAATCTCTTTTCCATATGGCAGGTAAGTCTGGGGGTGCAGCACTGTACCACCCTACCTCAGATCACATGGGTCCTTGCTCTCCTCCCTCAATCCCTATTGGCTTCCAAGCTCCTTCTTGCTGCTGGGACTTCACAAATGCTGTTCCCTCAAGAATGCTCTTCCCTTACTCTGGAATTATGTCCCTGCCTTCACCCTTCACCCTTCACCTAGAAACCCCTGCTCTTCCTTTGGATCTCAGCCGAAGTGTCACTTCCTCCAGAAGCCTTCCCTGATTACTAAGATTAGATCTCCTAGCTCTGGAAATTTCCTCCCAAGTACATGCCTCATTATATGATTCTTTTACTGTCTGTTTTCCCCACTGGATGGTTCCCTTCTTGAGGGCAAAGACTAGACTGCATATTTGATGCACCACAGGGCTGTGTTGAGTGGGTAGGACAACAGGATAGCATGTATCAAGCACTTGCTAGGTGCTGAGTGCTGGGCCAAGTGATTTACCATACATCACTGGTGCTCACAAGAGCAAAGGTATTATCATAATCCCGATTTTACGGGGAGCAAATGGAGACACAGAGAGGTGAAAGGACTTGTCCTGGGTCACCCAGCAAGGAAAGGGAGTGGTTGGGGTTCTAACACAGGCATCTGAGCTCCTTGGTCTTAATCATTTGCCCCCATGAAGTGAGTTGACCGATGTTTCTGATACATGGTGATCTCAGGGACATGCGGCTGGGTGAAGGGAGGTCAGCACCCCCCACCCACGTGCCCTCTTGACCAACAGCCTTGATCCTGAGAATAACAACCTGCCTCCTGGAAGCCCGAGAAGTCAGAAGCTGATGGGGTAGGGGAGGGAGGATCACTCCCATTTGTGCTTCACTCACAGCCAGGCTGCCAAAGCCATCCTGAGGCCACCGTGAGTCTTTTCCCAGAGACAGGCCAATGGTGTGGCCTCTGTCATCAGCCATTTCCTGCTTCCCTGCTTCTCTTTACTCCTTCACCCTTTCTCTGTCTCACTGAGGAACCACGTAGCAATGAGGCTAAGAGTGTGGGCTCTGCCAAGTGTCCACTGTGCTCCTGGGCAAGTTACTTAAGCCTTCAAAGAATATCCTGCATGTACTGAGCATTTCCTACTTTGCCAGGCACCATGCGAGGCGAGTGACTGCCTTATGCCGCAATGACGCAGGGAGGTGTATGTGATAGGCTCTCTTGTGCTACCTGTCTTTGAATGGGGAAACCAAGACTTCAAGATGTTCAGTCCTGAGCTCAGGATCACCTGGGGGCGGGGGGGGATCAGTGGTGGAACCGCAGTTCCCCCCAGGTACAGGAGCTTGAGCTCTGATCCCTGAGCTATACTGCTTCTGAATCCTCACCTTGCTCATCAGCAAAATGGGAGCACTGGTCCCTACCCCTGACGTTTAGGGGAGTTCTGTGAGGCTGATAAAGAAAATGTGCAACTTTTAATATTTGTGATCCCTGCTCCTAGGCTCCCAGGGAAACTATAACATTTACCAAGGTCAACTGACTTCGTCAAAACCTCAAAGCATGGGGCCCTATTTCTGCCCCCAACAGCACACATTGTATATCTACTTTGTTAAAACAACCAAAAAGGAGCATTCCAAACATAAAAAGAAAAAGAAAAAAGCCCTGGTTCCCATAAGGTAAAAGCCATACAGCCTCGCACATACTAGATATAAGATAAAGTCTGTAACTTTCTAGAATGTCCTGATTATGATGATTTGCAACCCTTTAGGTAAAAAACATATGTAATGCTGCTCCAAATGTTCCCTTCCCAGGCACTCTCCTCCTTGTGAAGACTGTATCCCAGGCAGCTCTCCTAACTTGGGCTCAATTTAAACCCTTCCTTTGTTTTTTAAATTTGTAAAAGGTTTTGTTCATTTTGCATGGACAAGGGAACAGCTCCCCGCACACAGAAGAGGCCCAACCATGACCACTTCCCCTTGTGCCGCCTCCTGCCTGACCCAGGCCCTCCCCCTCCGCAGCTTGTGGTCACTTGGTCTTTTAGGCCCACTTGGTGGGGATGCCAAGCCCCACGGCTCCGGCCTCAGGATGAACCAAGACTCACCGAACTCAGCTCCGGGGTTGGCCGAAGGGAGCGCCTTTTCCGTCATGCCCCAGTTGAAGATGTAACAGTTGCCATAATCAGGGTGGAAGATGGACGTGAAGTTCCTAAAAGAAACACCATCAGCCAGAGAGCAGGGCTCACCCTAGCAGGTGTCTCTCCGATGGTCTGCTGCTCAGGACTCACGACCTGCAGGGAGCCACAGCATCCAGCCAGATGCGATGGGCAAACTGGAAACTCTCGCACGCACGGAGGGAAGTACTGACATGGTGGGTCAGAGAGGGGATGAATCAGGAGAGGGCCCAACAGAGCCCAGGAAAGACAGAGCTTTACCACGAGGTGTGCGGGACCCTATACAGGGTCCTCTCCTATGTCCCAGGAATGTTTCCTAAGGAAATAAGTCAACAGCAACAAGAAATGTTTCCATAAATTAGCTCACGGCAGTAGCAATGGTATAACATGTTTCAAAGAATTCAGTTTAAAAAAGACTTTTTGGGATATGGAACATTTCAAACACAAAAAAGTCTGGACCGTGAAGACCAGCTTCAAGAATCATCACAGCATAGCTACTAATGCTTCATCTCCACCCCCATCACCCTTCCATATTATTTTCAAGCAAATCTCAAGACAGCATGATTTTATTTGTAAACATTTCCAGATGTATCTTGGAAAGTAAGAACTCTTTACATTTTTAAAAAATATTTTTAAGATTTATTTGACAGAGAGAGAAAGAGAGCACAAGCAGAGGGAGCTGCACCCAGAGGGAGAGGAAGAAGCAGCCTCCCCACAGAGCAGGGAGCCTGATGTGGGTCTTTTTTTTTTTTAAGATTTTATTTATTTATTCATGAGAGACAGGAAGAGAGAGAGAGGCAGAGACACAGGCAGAGGGAGGAGCAAGCTCCACGCAGGGAGCCCGATGTGGGACTCGATCCCAGGTCCCCAGGATCACGCCCTGGGCTGAAGGCGGAGCTAAACTGCTAAACCGCCAAGCCACCCAGGCTGCCCCTGATGCGGGTCTTAATCCCAGGACTTTGGGATCATGACCTCAGTTGAAGGCAGATGCTTAACCCACCGAGCCACCTAGGTGTCCCAGTAAGAACTCTTATAAAAATACTGCTATTACCAATGTTAAACATAACAAAAAGTCCTTAATATTATTAAATATTTAGTTCAAACTTCTAATCATCTCATACATGTTGATTTTGTTTTTACAATTTATTTGTTTACACTGGGATCTAAATGAAGCTAATATGTGATTGGTTGATGTCTTTCAAGTTTCTTCTAATCTACAGCTCCTTCCATCTGACTTTTTTTTTTCTTTTAATATAGCTATTAAAACAGTTCTGGTTTGACCCAGCTAATGCTTGGAGAGGCAGTGAATTGATCACTGTTTCACAGCCCGGATAAATGAATGGCCTTGGGGAATGCACACTGGTGGTGGCCAGTGCTGCCCGTCTCCTGATGGAAGTGCAAAGGCTGCCAAGGAGTTGGTATTGCTAGTAAAACATAAAAATCTTCCCTGGACAGGACTGAGCATCTGTCTTGAACCACCGTTTACAGGAAGTATTGGAGACAGAGGAACACGTTCAAAGACACCAAAGAAAATCAACCTGCAAAATCCAGACCTTGGGGAATGCAACAGGAGAAATAACCCAGTTGTGAGGGAAGAAAAGAGAGACAACCTACTAAAGAATAGAAACTTTAAAGATCTGGGTCGCAATCACAATGTGCTGTCTTTAATTGGATCCTGATTCGCACACACCAACAAGCAAAAAGATATGACATTTGTGAGTGAACATGACCGGATAGCTAATGGTACTGAGGAATTATTGTTTTCTTTTCAGGTGGGATAATGGCTTGGTGGTTTGGTTGGGGGAAAAACAGTCTTTCTCTTTGGCAGATATGTTCTGAGCTCTTTACAAGGTGAAAAGACCCTGGAGTCTGGGCTTTGCTGCAGAATGGACAGGAGGGGAAGTGAGTCGTGGCTGTGGGATGTGGATGGCGCATCGCGCTCTCTGCTGTCTGTAGGCGTGTCCTCGAGGCTCTGTAAGGAAGAGCTTTAAAAAGTCTTTGCATATTTTTTTTTCTTGCAGAAATAGCCACTGAAATGTGATACTGTCTTCTAAGCCCCGTATTTTGAAATACTGCCTGCCACTTTTAGGAGCCAGCCCCATCCGTGCTGCACAGTTCTGCATACATCCTCTCATTCAATCCTCAGAGTAACCCTGTGAGGTCAGCTGTTATTTGCTGCATGCTGAGATTAGGAAGCCATGCCCTGCACCTTTGGCGCCCCTGCCCCCCCTTCGCTGGCAGAACAATGATGTCGCCGGGCCGGCGGGGACATCTAAGCTGCGAACTGACCCTGGGCAGGTATGAGCGGCTTACTCCACCTCTGGGCTCCGGTGTCCTCAGGAGTGAAAGGGAAATCAGGAAGAAACCACATTTCTCCATTCAGCAAGTGTTTCCTGAGGCAGGTGCTGGGTTGGGGATAGCTGAGGTGAACCAGAGAGTCCTGCCCTGGAAGTTCACCGTGTGGCCAGAGGGGAGGGGACCCAGCAGGGCGGGGACTCGGAGCAGGTTCTGTCAATGCTCCCCTTCCAGAATGTGCTTCTGGCTTGTCCTCCTCTCTCCATCGCAGGCTCCCCCTGCAACCACAAGCCACCAGCACCCGGTCCTGTGTTCCTCCTGCAGGAGCCTCTGCTTCCCCTCTTGTTCTCAATGTTCCTCTGCGCAGTGGTCAGGGCGGTGAATTGGACCAGGGTGCACCCCTGCTTGGGACCCTCTGGAGGCCCCTTGTTGCTCGCAGAAGGAAATGCAAACGCCCTACGTTGGTTCTTCTCTCCCTTGTGTGTTACACTTCAGGAAGATTCTGAGATATTTCCAAATTCAGGGTCCCTGTGGCCACTGCCCCATGTGCCCAGAATATTCTCTGGCCAGCTGGCCAAATAAGCGGCTTCTCCTTATCCTTCAGGATTCAGCTGCTCTGAGCGAGACACTCCCACCCCCACCCTCCTGCCAGCCCCTGCACTCCCCATGCAAAGTCACTTCCCTACCCAGTTACTTGATCATTTCTACCTGCTTATTCCCTGATGGCATGTGTCAAAATGTCAGAATTGGAAATTATTTTCTTTAGTTAACTGCTTGCTTGTCAGCTGCCTCATGCTTTGGAAGGTAGGCCCAGGGAGGCCAGTTGTCTTGTCTTGAGGGAGGAAGCATTTAGAGGCCAAGATCCCAGGCTTGGGGGCCTCCCTGCCAGGATTCAAATTTTGGCTTTGTCACTGAGTAGCTGGTGAGCTTGGGCTCTCTGAGCCTCACCTGCCCCACCTGTAACGCCGCCAGGACAGTAACAGTATGTACCCGAAAGGACGAAGGCGAGGGTTGGATGGCGAGTACACTGAAATGCTTAGCGAACGCTGGCTGCCGCTCCCCGCTCTGTCCGCAGAGCCTGGCCCACGGTAGACTGACGCTCAGTAAATATTTGTTGGGTAAATTATAATATGTGATAAGTGGATCACCAGAGATAAGCACGGAGGAGTGATACCTCATTCTCCCTGGGGTGTGTGGGGAGTGTGTGGGTCATGGAAGGGTTCTTGGGGAAGGGGAGGCCTGAGCTGAGACTTTTAAGGATGGGGAAGAGGTAGCCGAGCCACCCAGGGAGCACAGGGGAGAAAGGGCACATCAGGCAAAGGCCCAGAGGGAAGCAATAGCTTTGGGCGGGTGGAGCACACATCTGTGTGGGATCAGGGCTGTGGCCACAGGAGGAACAGAGCAGGGCAAACCAGCTGAAGCCGGGCACTGTTCTGGAGGGAGAGCCCCCGCCCCAGGGGCGTGAGGACACAGTGTTCCCGAGAAACCGTCTCAGACATCTGCAGCCCAGGAGCAGGAGGCCGCTCCGGGTGTGGCCGGATCCCCTCCTGCCCAGGCTGTGCTCTCCGTCCCTGACGCTGTGTGTGCCAACTATTTGCTTGTTGATAATGCTCTTTGCCTGGAGAGGCTGCTCCCAGCACCAGGCAACTCTTGCTCCAGGGCCGGGCATGTTCCCAAAAACACCTTCCCCGGGCCAGGCGTAAGGCATGCAGATCCAGACGGGTGCTAACCTCCAGAAAAGTCTGGAAGCAGTGGAACAGCAGTGGTACCGTGTGGTGGGCGTCAGGAAAGGCTTCCCAGGGCAGAAGCCAGGGAGCCGATCCCTGAAGCAGAATAATAAGCTGCTGCTGCTGCTTCTCTATGCCTAGATCTTGGCTTCTAAATACCATCCTCCAATGAAAGGAAGCAGAGCTCCCCGGAGCAATGGCTGAGTCTCGAGCTGGGGTGTCTTGCAGTGCCAGAATGTAGGGAAGCACCCACCAAATAAAAGAGATGGGGACGTGTCAGAGAGACACAGGAGCCCAACACGAGGAGCTGCTACTGGCCAGAGCTGGAAGGATTTGAGCAGAATAAAGAATGTGGTATGGATCACAACGCAAATACACACGAAGTCCTTCCTGGTATAAATGACAGGATGACATGAACCAGCGGTGGAGAGGGAAACCTTCCCCATGGAGGAATTTCAAATAGTCTATATTCCCATCTCCAGGAGGCCAGGAGCTGAGACCCCCTGTCTCCCTGCCACGCTGTCCCCCTCTCAGAGTGTGGGCTCAACTTAGCGACTAGTTCCACATGGACATGGAAGGGAAAGTGGTCACCTGGGGCCCTGTCCATGCTTTGACCATGTGAGGAAGGTCAACATCCTAGGTGGTGTCATGTGGCCAGTGTGTCCCTACCGGCGCATGATGTGATGAGGGGGGCACTTTACTCTGTGCTCTTCTTCCCCCAAAGCCGTATTTTAAAAAGATCTTATTTATTTATTTGAGACAGAGAGAGAGAGAGAGAGAGCAAGTGCAAGCAGTGGGAGGGGCAGAGGGAGAAGCATACTCCCCACTGAACAGGGAGCCCATTGTGGGACTTGATCCCAGGACCCCGGGATCATGACCTGAGCCGATGGCAGGTGCTTAACCAACTGAGCCACCCAGGGACCCTTGACCAAACCTGTCTTATCTGTATAAACCCAAGTCAAGGACCTGCTGTAATGCAGCTGACCAGTACTCTGAAACAGTCCTGGTCACCCGAAACAAGGAAGTCTGAGCAATTGTCACAGTTTCTAAACGAAATGTGGTCTCCTAGAGATGGAATTCTGGAATCCCAGAGCAGGAAAAGGTCACCGGGAAGCACTGTGGGAATCTCACTAATGTGTTACATTTAGTTAATAGCAACAGGCCGATATTGGTTTCTTAGTTTTGACAAATTACCGTGATGACACAGGATGTTAACAACGGGGGTTACAAGGGAATTGTGTGTGTTGTCTTTGCAACATTTCTGTACATCTAAGGCTATTCCACAATAAAAAGTTTATTTAAAAAAATGCTCAGTGGCAGCTCAGGTGGCTCAGCGGTTTAGCGCCTGCCTTCGGCCCAGGGCGTGGTCCTGGAGACCCGGGATCGAGTCCCACATCGGGCTCCCTGCGTGGAGCCTGTTTCTGTCTCTGCCTCTTTCTCTCTATGTCTTTCATGAATGGGTAAGATCTTTAAAAAAATAAAATAAAATAATGCTCATATGGGGCGCCCAGCACACAGGCTAGCATTCACATCCAGGCAGTTTGGCATCAGAGTCGACCTGGATGTGAACGTGGCTCCTTTTGCCCTAATTACAGCTGCTGCTTCTTGAGCATTTGCCACGTTCGAGGGAGAGAGGTCAGAGTCAGAAGGACAGTGAGGCAGCAGGGACATAGCATTTGGAGCCCAGCATCGGGAGGACAAAGAGAGGCACGTGTCCTCTGGCACCGCGTCTGAGGCTGACTCAGGAAGGCAGGTGACAAAGCACAGGCTTGGGCGAGGTGGGTGGGGAGGGAAGATGATGCTCTGGTTTTCTGATGGGCGAGTACAGTGATGCGGGGCGGCCCAGGCTGCCAGCTCTGCCACTCACCGGCTGTGTGACTTCGGAGACATTGCTTAACCTCTCTGGGCCGTGGTTGCATCATACAAAATGGGGTGACATAATAGCACCTTTCTCATGGGCTTGTGGCCAGGGTTAAAATAATTTTATACCTGTGAAGTGCTAAGAATAGCATCTGGCACATCAGAAGTGCTCCATGAACGTTAGCATCATTACTGAATAATGAGATCCTTGTCAAATGTGGGCTTAATGACAATAATAACTATTACATATCGGGGCCAGCCCTACTGTCGGCATATTAACTCATTTAATGCTCAAAATAACCCCCCCAGAGTAGGCATGTTATTACCCCACGTTACGGAAGAGGAAAACCGAGGCCCATCACGGTGAACCTTATTTAAGCTTGTAAGATGGAGCAAGGATGTGAACCCAGGGCTCTAACCGCCCAGCCCAGCCTTGACCCCTTCACCAGAGTCCCTCCCCGGCCGCAGCCACACCACACAAGTTGTGTGGCCGACGCTGGCTGCTTTGCCTGCCCCGAAGCTATCGTTCCTCCGTCTCTGGGAACAGCTCAGCTTCTCCTTGGGGGACCACCTGTTGCTCAGTCTCAGTCCCCGTAACCCAATGGGACCTGCTTTGCTTTTTGGAGGGTGCCACGTTGGCAGCAAGTGTGCATCCCCAGTGCTGGGGCTGCCCACAAGGGAGCCATGCCGTGGGCAAATGGGTATCTTCCCACACTGAGACCCCCCGGTGGCAGGGGTGCACACTCCAGGCATCGGGGACCTGAGAGTAGATCCCTGGAGACCCTAGGGGACCCACTTCCGCACCTCGCCCCCAGGCCAGGGCCACTCTCCCTAGGCAGATGGGCCATATACTTGGAGTCAGAGCCTAACATCTCTCACTCGCTGAGAGGGCAAAGGTGACCGTGCAGATGTGACACACCAGTCCACTCAGGACTGCCGCCCGATGGGAGGGTTGCCAGGAGCGGCCGGGCAGGGGTGTGCTGAGCAAAGGCCACCGGCTGAGAGCGAGGGGTTGGAACCCAGCCAGCGAGGAGCCAGCCAAGCCGCCGCCGTGGGCACGCCACGTCCTGTCGGCAGGGACAGTGTGCCATACTTTTCCGCCCGCCGGTCACACCTTTCCAGTTCACACCATGCGGCCAGGGCTGCAGCTCTGCAGGCTCCATGGCCCTGGGGTCCTTGGCACTGCCTGTAAAATGCCTGCTCCTGTGCGCTTGCGGGAACCGAAGGTCCCCCAGTGATCAGCAGACGCTCGTTAGAGCTTCCTGGGGGCTGGTGGGTGGAGAGAGCTGGGCTCAGGCACAGTCCCTGGAAGGTGACACCAGAAGTGGCAGGACTCCGTGGACTTCTCCAGAGGCCTGGAGCGCGAGACCATGAAGCCCCAGACCACCTGGGCCCCGCACACCTGGGCCCCGCACACCTGGAGGTCTGGCCTGAGGCCTGGGGGGCCCTGCGGCCACAGCAGCTGTGCCCGGGCCCAGGCTCCAGGCCTGATCCTGCTCTGGAGATGCCGGGGCGCAGGGGTGGCGAAGGACGTGGGGGCCTGGGGACCCACTCTAAGAGCCGCAGGCTTTTGGGGTGAACACTGTTCTCACTCTGCCATTCTCTCAACCTTGGGGGCTGCCAGGGATGACCATGAAGGCTCCCAGGGCCCCGTTCTAATGCTGACCTGGGCCCACTCCGCTGTCCTCCTGGGGGGCCTCGGAGGTGGACGGTCAGGGATGGGACTCAGGGCTGTAGGTGCCAGGGGGCCCGCCCAGACCCCTCAGCCGCTGGGTGCTGGAGGCTAGGCCCCTACAGCTGCCCCCTCTGCAGCCCTCCAGCCTGGGAATTTAGGGGGCCCTACCCCATCCTCCTGGGGTGGCACATGGCCCGTGAGGGACCGACACAAGGGGGACAAAAGGCTGGCCCCTCAGGAGTTCAATTCCATGGTGCAGCTCATGCTCCAGATGCCCCACGGATGGAGCCGACGGCCCCTGAGCCCATGGCCGCACTTAGCTCTTTCCCCCTTCCTCATCCTTTCCTTCCAGATGTGTCCTGAAGCGATTCCCTCGGTCCTCATGGGCCTCCCCCATCCCCACCTCATCAGCCTGGGCTGTGGGGGTGGCTCTCACCTGTAGCTGCAGGGCTCGGCCCCGAACAGGCAGGCCAGGATCAGCCGCTCGGCGGGGTAGCTCATCTCCACCAGCTCGTGCTGTGGCACCTGCGAGAAGATGTTGGTGGCCTGCAGGAGGTACCACTCTGTCACGGCCTGGGTGGCGCTGGTGAAGTTCCGGAAGGTGCACACAGTCCCATTGAGGCTGCACTGTGGAAGTCAATGGGGGTCCTTGTGGGTGCAGAGTACCCCCCACCCTGGCTCTGCCCCTAAGGCCAGGTCCCCCAGTTGTCTTTCCCCAGGCTGCACAGCTGCACTTCCCCGGTGGGCAGTGTGCTCACACGCTCGCAGTGCTTGGGGCTGTCCCCTCCCACGGGGTCGCTGGGGACCCCCACACGTAGCTGTATGCATGAGCGATGACACACATGCACACATGCACATGCGCACACATGTACACGCAGACAGATGCCCATGTCCTGACAACCACAGCCACGTGATCTCATGGCCACAGCTACACATGCCCATATCCAAATTTTCTCCCGGCCCACACCTAGATGATCCCCATTCATGCTCCTGTGGGCACAGAGACAGACGCACCCGGTCCCTCCTCCTTCCCTAACTCCTTTCTTGGCCTCCTCGAGACTTCCAGAGGCAGCTCTCTGGAGGCCGTGTGGCCCATGAAGGACTCAAGGCTCCAGGCTCCCTCTCTCTCACTGGGGGAAGGACATGGGTCTTGTGCAGGACCCCCCTCCCTGTCACCACAGCTGGCCCACTGTGATGCCCAGATCGCTGTGCAGATGCAGCACAGACACAGGCCCAGGACTCTGGCCTCAACTACTCTGCCTCTATCTGCCCTCACAGTGGGCCTTCCTTCTGGAACCCAGGAGGCCTGGAGGAGCTTCTCAATGTTCTGAGATGACTGCCCTCCCCAGGGCCAGCCAGGGTCACCACCCTCAGGCCCACTCTTGGAGGTCTCCTTGTCTCTCCTTAGGGAGATGACCATAATACTTAGTACTCACTGTCCCAGGCTCTGAGCTGAGGGCTTGCTTGTTTTCTTTCTTAGATTTATTTATTTATTTATTTATTTATTTATTTATTTATTTATTTAAGACAGAGAGAGAGAGAGAGAGAGAGAGAGAGAGAGAGAGAGACAGAGACATAGGCAGAGGGAGAAGCAGGGATCCTGATGCAGGACTCGAACCCAGGACCCCAGGACCATGACCTGAGCCAAAGGCAGATGCTCAACCACTGAGCCACCCAGGTGCCCCTGCTGAGAGCTTTCTATTACCTCATTTGATTTGTACAGCAACCCTACTCCATCATCATGAGGAAATAAGGCCAGCAGACCCCCCTCCCCGCTACACATGCATACGCATGCACACACCGCATGCACCCCGTGTGCACACACACAGAGCCTGACCCTGACAGCTGGTGCAGCCAGCGGGAACAAGCCTGCTTCACAGGTGAGGAGCCAGACACAGAAAGCCAAGTAACTGCACCAAAAAAATAGCAGGATGCTGGGTCAGAGCTGGCATGGGGGCTCTGGAGCCTTGCACTGTCTGCTGGTTTTATGGGGACGCAGGCGGAGTCCCAACCCAGTGGAGGTCAGGTGCCTCCTTCTGGGGAGTGTATGGCCACAGCCTGGGTCCCCAACCAAGGGTGACCATCAGAATCACCAGGGAGTCTGTTAACAATACAGATTCCTAGTCCCGTTCAGATTCTCCAGGAGTGGGGACCAGGGGTCTGTACAGTTAGGGAGCTCCATAGACCTAAAGGCACAGACAAGGAACCTTCTCACTTGCGGGCTTGCAGGCATCCCTGCATCGGACTGTACTGCGTGGCTGTGGGTTTTTACCTGCCCACATGTATGTCCCTGTCTTTTGATAGTTAAGACTTAATTCCTTCTTCTGTGAAGCTCCCTTTCCCCCTCACTGGGTCCATGGGGTCGAGGCTGACATCACCCCAGCCCCAGGACACAGACCTGTGACTGGCAGATCAGGAAAGCCCATTCTCCGGCCCACAGGGACTGGTTGAGGAGTGAACATGTGACCCGATGAGACAGTCCCAGGACTTTTGCTGGCACAGTAGGGGAAGAGGAGTTCTGTTTCTGGGGTGAGTGCTGAGCTGATGGGGTGTACGTCTGGCGTTGCCAAGACCCCCCACATGGAGAGAGCCTACCAGGGAGTGGGGTCAACTGGGAGAAACCTGAACAAAAATGGAGGGGTAGAGTCCTGATGGCAGCATGTGAATGCCTGGATCCAGCCAGACCTGAACCCAACTTCTCAGCATATGAGCCAGTGAATTCTCTGTTTTGCTTGAACTAGTTAGACCTGGGTCACTGGCATCCAATAGGATCTTGACTAACATACTAGCTACTTCTATTTAAAAAAAAAAAAAAAGAGCTTTGTAAACATACAAAATAGGGCCTGGCTTCCAGCCTGCCTTACCCGGCAAGACTCAGATTACAAAAGGAAAGACACTCCCACCCGCCCCCCTGGGTCCAGGGCCCACTTACTAGTCTCATGGCCACTTTGCACCCGTGCGCAGTGCAGGACCTTGCTGGGGCTGGGCTGCTGCTCGCTGAGCCATTGTGGATGTCCCCAAAGAGGTCAAGGACCACCGGGCGGTGGGGGTTCTGTTCGTTGATAAGAACCAGCGGCATGTAGTTCCACATGGTGACGTTCAGGGTCCTAGTGGCATTGGCATCGCTGTGCTCGGGAGCCAGGATCCTCTCCAGGACAGCTTCCATGAGTTCATCCAGATCCCTCAGCAAATGCTTGACTTTGGAATACCTGGGTGGGGAGGGGGCAGGTCAGGGGGCAGGGGCCGCTGGGACTCCCCCCTCGCTCCAGCCTGGCTGCCCCCGAGCCCCTGCCTCTCTGCCCACCCGCCGGCCCAGGCGTCCATGTCTCCTTCCACCCACCTGCTCACCTAGTCATTCACCGAGTACGCACTGAGCACCTACTATGTGCCGGGCACCGTGCAGAGCACAGAGGTACAACAGCGAACAAGACACATGGGGTCCCTTTCCTTATGTTTTTTTTTTTAATTTTTTTAAAGATTTTATTTATTTACTCATGAGAGGCAGAGAGAGAGAGGCAGAGACATAGGGAGCCCCATGTGGGACTCTATCCCCAGACCTGGGATCAGGCCCTGAGCCTAAGGCAGGTGCTCAACTGCTGAGCCACCCAGGCGTCCCGGTCCCTCCCCTTCCTTCTGAAGGTCACATTCTAATGAGGACGACTCAAAACAGCCCATGGTCAGCGATTGCTTGCCGTGTGCCAGCGCTAGGTGCTTCCGACGCTTTATTTGATCTTCCCCACAATTCTGTGATGCTCCCCAGGGAAGGATCAGGAAACCCTGCAAGTCGCTGTGATCTCCGGAGCCCACCCCGCTGTAGAGCGGTAGAGCTGAGGAGGGAACCTGGGTTTGGAGCAGCAGGCGTGCTGCTGTTCCTGCCCAGAGGTTCTCGAGCTCCCTTCCAGGAGGACACAAAAAAATGTAGGGAGGAGGGACAGGTCTGCGATCCTGAGGTCCCAATTCTCCAGCAGTGACTTTGGGAAGAGGAGCCAGTTTCAGGAGGCAGGAGGTGGTTGGGAGCGTGGGGCTGGGCTCCCCCCATGTTGCAAAGGGTGACCAGTCAGTCTGGAAGAAATGTGTCCACGCCAGGGAGTGACCCCTCCGGATCTATCCCAGCCTCTGCCACACAGTGTGGTCACCAGGGCAGTGTGAGGACATTAGCAGGAGTGAGTGTTAGACCCGGGCCACAGGCTCACATCCTGGTACAAAGAGGCAGAGCACCCCGAGCTGGCATCAGCTTCAGCTGTGGACACCTCCTGTCCCCTGATCATTAAACCAGCCTCCCGTGTGTACACAGGATGAGGACTGGGGAGGGTGGCGGGCAGTGGGGATGCGGCTGCTATTACGGCCTGGATGTCCACATCCATGGACATGGACACATTAGGCCATGGTGGGGCCTGGCAGGAGGTCTGGGTTCAAATCCTGACATGCCACTCAATATCTCTGTGACCCTGGGCAAGTTAGCACCTCTGAGGCTCCATTCTCTGTCTACAGAATTAGGGGGATTAAAGAGTATTTACCCTGGAGGGCTGTTAGGAGGATTCAGTGAGGTGATGCTTATAAAGCGTCCAGAACAGGCCCCCGACGGGGTGGTGTTGGTACTATGATTACTCCAGGTTCTCTTGAGCAGCCCCAGGGATCCACCCCAGCAGGCAGGAGCTCGATTACTAGAAAGAAGGGACTTGCTGATAACTAGAGACAGAATCAGGAAGTATGAATTCGCTTCCAGAACCTTCTTTTGGACAAGAATGTTCTCTGTGACTCAGCTATGCTGGCCCTTCCTTCGGTTCCTTGAAAGCACCAACTCTGTCCCATTCCAGGGCCTCTGCAGGTGTCCTCCGCGTGGGGCCCTCTTCATTCCACCTTGCTAACTGCTACTCATCCCTTAGGGGGTGTTCTCTGACTGACCCCCTGCCTCTCTTCAACCCTGGCCAGGTTGGGTCGCTCCATGTGTCCCTTTCAGAGGCCTTGCCATCAAGTGCTTGAACAGTGGCACCTCTGCAGTCACATCAGGCCTGGGCTCCAATTCCACAGTTGTTCGTTTTGTGTCCCTGGGCAAGTTCCCTCATCTCTCTGAATCTCCATTTCCGTACCTCTAAGCTGGGGCTATCACGGTAGTGCCCACCCCCTAGGTGGTTGTGTGGGTGAGAATTACACAAACTAACCAAAAAACACTCAGCACACTGCCTGACAACTCATAAGCCCTTGATGTAGCGTTGCTATATATTGTTTATCATCATAATTGGAATTAATTCAATATTTATGGGGCAAAAAACATTAATGTCCTTTTGCTCTGGGAGGCTGGGAAGAGGGTGGGAACCTCGTTTTATCCATTGCTGCAGTCCTCCTCCCCTGGCACAGCTCAGGGCACGCAGCAGGTGCTCAGAAATCCGCACTGGTTGATTCAGTCCTGGGCACCGGTGGGCCTGACGGCAGAGGCTACCAGGTATATTTTTAGGTTCCCTTTAAAGACTTTATGTTTAAGTCACCTTTACACTCAACATGCGGCTCCAACTCACAACCCTCAGATCAAGAGTCGTAGGCTCTACCCACTGAGACGGAAGGACGCCCCTAGGTTCTCTTAAAGCCCAGGACGAGCAGGGATTTTGTGAGGTGCTTGCTGCAAAGGGCTGAAGCAAAGAGGGAGAGAGAGAGAGAGAAAGAGCACAAGGAGGGGAAGGGGAGGGATGGCGGAAAGAAAAGGAATCTGGAGAGAAGAGAAGGAAGGAGAGGGAAGGGGGAGAGGGAGGGGATGGAGACAGGGAGGGGGACGAGGAGGGCCAGAGGGAGGGGGAGGGAAAGGAAGGGGGGCAAGGAAAGAGAGAGGGAGGGAGGGGGAGGAGGTGGGGTGAGAAAGGGGGGAGGGAGGGAGGCGGAGAACTCCCCGGGAGCACCTACTGGAAGGGGCTGGCGTTGCAGATGGTGACTGCGGGGAAGTCCATGGTCTTGAAGCCGAGGGAGAGGGACACGCTGACCTCCCAGCTCAGGTAGGTCCTGATGAAGACGCCCCACTGCCAGCAGACCAGGGAGGTAAAGAGCAGCGTGATCAGGAACCACATGGCCTTCTTCTTGGGCCCCTCGCAGATGATGCGCTTGGGGCCGTGGGTGTTGGTGTTGTTACAGTACCACACCAGCAGCTCCTTGTACGAGTAGCCCGGGCCCTTCTGCAGCCGGTGCAGGCCCTTCAGCAGGTACTTCTTCAGGTGCATCGTGGCCCCTGCACGGAGACACCAAGGCCAGGTGTGTGTGTGGGGGGGGGGTGCTGCGCTGGGGCAGCCACATCCCAGCTCTCCCTCCCCCCTTCCTCCCTGCCCCCTCTCCATCCCGCCCCTCCCCTCCCTCCACTCCTTCCCTCTCTCCTTCCTGGCCATCTTTCCTCCATGCATCCAACCAAAAAAAAAAAAAAAAAAAAAGAGCATGTATTGAATGCCTACTGTATGCCAGATACTGAATTAGTCCCTCTGGATTCAACGATGGGCAAAACAAGCAAGGTTTCTGCCTTCTGGGAATTTTCAGCCTAGTGACAAGTTACTTAAACTCTCAACTCCTTAGGAACCCTGTCTGTAAAATGGGGTGATTGTACCTAATGTACAGAATTGCTGACAGGGTGAAACGAGGTGATGCATAAAATGGGCTAAATACAGTGCCCGGCTCAGACTAAGTGCCCAATGTGTTGGCTACCTTTATTTATGTATGTATGTATTTAATTTATTCAATTCGTTTTATTATTTACTTATTTTTTTAGAGAGAGTATGGGAGAGTGGGGGCAGAAGGGACAGAGGGAGAGAGGGAATCCTAAGCAGGCTCCATGCCCAGCATGGAGCCTGACGTGGGGCTCGATCTCACGACCCTGCCATCATGACCTGAGCTGAAATCAGGAGTCTGAAGCTTAATCGACAGAGCCACCCAGGCACCCCATCAGCTACCTTTATTACAAGCTGTAAGCAGGTGGGTGAGACAGATGTTCATCAAATAATCCATCCAAAGTGTGTAGCTATGAAATATGGTAGGAAGGCTTGGGACCCTGTGCTCTGAGGTCCCAGAGGCAGTAAGGGGTGGTGGTGAAGAACCAGCTGAAACGTGTGCTTTGAATCTCAGCTCCACCACTTTCTAGCTGGGTGACTTTGGGCCAATCACTTTCCCAGTGCCTCTGGGTCCTCATCTGTTAATGCAGATAATAATGCCTCTCCTGGGACCCTGGGTGGCTCAGTGGTTGAGCATCTGCCTTTGGCTCAGGGCATGATCCTGGGGTCCTGGGATCGAGTCCCACATCGGGTTCCCTGCATGGAGCCTGCTTCTCCCTCTGCCTGTGTCTCTGCCTCTCTCTCTGCGTCTCTCATGAATAAATAAATAAAAATAATTTTTTAAAAAAAGCCTCTCCCTCATGGGTTGTTGTGAAGATTGAATGAAAATATGTAGCGTGTGGATGGCTACCTGGCACCCATCAGCTATCCTTCTCAGAAGCACCCTCCACCCCAACCCGTCAGCTGAGAGTCCCCCGAGAAGCTGAGTTAACTAGGTGAAGAGGACTGGAGGGGGTCACTCAGGTGGCAGGGACAGCAGGAGCAAAGGCTGTGAGGCGGAGGGAGCCTGGAAAGGTGAGCAGGACCTTGTGGGCCACATTTAGGATTTGGAGGCGTGGAGGCGTGATGCCCTCAAACCCGCCATCTGGAAAGACACGGACAGGAAGGTGGGGGTGTGTGTGAGAGGGTGGGCCCAGGAGCAGCATCAGGGCTAGCTGTGGGTTGTTGAGAAGTGTCTACTCTTTCTTTCTGAGACTGATCCTCACCTGCATGAGGAGACAGCATTCTTGTGAAGATGAACCAAGATACTTGTCACAGAGCCTTGCACCTGATGGCTTCTCAGGTAGTTTTAACCTGTTTCCTCCCTCCTTCTCCCGCAGACAAAGAAGGAACCTGCTTCTGGAGCACCCCAGCTCTATCCCTGGAGCCCCAGTTGGTCAAAGGCCACCTCCTGCCTGCAGCTGTCCTGACTCCCTGGCTGGAGTGACTCTCCCCCTCTTCTCAGAGCTGCTGCCTCTCGGGGGGCACTGTGGTGGGCAGTGCAGTGTCTGCTGGTCCAGCGTCCTTTCTCCCTGGCTCTGTGTGCCCTCAGGGGAACCGCCCCTCCCCCAGCCTCAGCTGCTGTGAGCTGCCAGGTTGACTCCGCCCCTAATCTGAGGGTACTCATATTCACCCGTTTGGATGCTTGAGACTCAATTTTATTACTTTATGCCATTATAACTGAGGCAGAGACTCCTTTTATGCTATCTCCTTTTTTTTTTTTTTTAAGCTATTTGGTACCACAAACAGGGAGACTGCCTGAGAATACAGCCAACACAGGGGAAAACAGAGCCACACGATGGAGAGAGTGATTTCTGACATTTGAACACCTGGATCCAGCCACTCCTGAAACCATTTATTTTTAGGCTCAGCAGATACAGGAACCAATACATTTTCTTTCTTACTTATGCTGATGCAGACTGGGTGTCTATCATTTGAAACCACTAAAATCTTAACAAAGAAAGAACTTCACCTCATTCTACCCTGTGTCATACTTTTGCCTGTGGCATCTCATTCCTATGAGATAATAAATAAGTCCTGTGAGAATAGCAGCTCTGTATTCCTGATAAGCCCAGCACGGTCCCTGGAACTTCACCGAACAGCAAATGGTAATGCCAGACCTTCATATCTAAACAGAGATCTTAAACTTGCTCAAGCATGTTCACTGCTGACCTACCTTTCTGACACATTAATATCCCCCACTTTCCTGGCCAAAGCATTAAAGGCTTTCCCCTCCAATGCCTCTGCTCTCTGATGGAAATCAAGCTCCGTGTGCCTGCTCAGGCCATCATGGCTCTAACAGAGACGTTCGCAGATTAACCCACCCCCCATCTTTCCCTAGAGGGCCCATTCCCTGCTCTGGGAAAATAAAGTCATAGTGATCACAGTAGTAACAACTCCAAGGGCCCTGTCAGAGTACACGTGTTTATAATGACCCGGGTACTGCAAGATGGTGCGTGCATTATTTAATCATTCTTAGACATTATTATCCACAACTATAAACTTGGGAAGAACTGGAGCTTTGTCTGTCTTTATAGTCTGGCACCCCAAGGGCTAATAGGTGAATAGCACGTGAGGCTCCAATAAACTGCCACGGGAGAACCAGACAAAGGGCCTCTCTGATGTCTCCCTTTGCCATTCTCAGTTAATCATTCTGGTTCATCCAAGGAGAAAGTCGGTTTGGTATGAACAGGCCCTTAGCATCTATTTAACCCCCACTAATCTCCCGGATTAACAATGAGGCCTCAGGCTCAGAACTTTACAGGCGACAGTATCTAGGTGGAATTAACATCATTCTGTTTTCACCCGGTTTCTTTTTAAGAGAGGGATCTCCTATTCATGGCAAGATCTCTTGTCACAAGAACACTTCAGTTAAAAAAAAAAAAGTGGGGCGGGGGGAATGTGTTTAAATAAAAATAATCAAGGGGTGCCTGGGTGGTTCAGTTGGTTAAGCCTCTGCCTTCAGCTCAGGTCATGATCCTGGGGTCCTGGGATCGAGCCCCAGGTCAGGGTCCCCATTTAGTGGAGAGCCTGCTTCTCCCTCTTCCTCCCCACCTGTGCTCTCTCTCACTATCTCTCTCTCAGATAAATAAATAAAATCTTCGGAAAAAATACAGAAAAATATTCAGTAAACAATTGCATGCCATGTAGCAAAAGCTGTGGCAGTGGTAGAGGAATAACAGAGGTTTGTGGAGTGCCGGCTTCTCTCCTACCTCGTTTGGTCCCATGGGCCATCAACTAAGTAAAAATCAGTGAATGCTACAAACAGCTTTATGTTGTTGCCATCAGATTTACCCCCAAGGGAGGAGATGGTCTGTGTTTGGAATGTATACACAGCTTGTGTAGGAAGGTTTAAATCAGCTTACAGCTGAAACCAACCCAAACAAGCCAAGGGGAGACTGCGTCCACTTATGGACTTGGGCACAGTGGACATGGTCACACTTCAGAGAATCCCAGACTGGGTGAGCATCTTGGCCCCAAACGGGTGCTCAACGTTCCAGGCCACAAATACAACAGTAAGTGTTGTGTGCCCCCAATTCTTGTAAGAGGAAACACACACTTGCTTTCAGAGACAAATTTGTCCTGAGGTTTTTTTTTTTAAAGATTTTATTTATTTACTCATGAGAGACACAGAGAGAGAGGCAGAGACACAGGCAGAGGGAGAAGAGGGGGACCCGATGTGCGACTTGATCCCAGGACCTCGGGATCACGTCCTGAGCCAAAGGCAGATGCTCAACCACTGAACCACCCAGGTGCCCCTGTCCTGATATTTGACTCGGTGTCCTGGTGGCAGGACAACGGGGAACGCAGTGCGTATCTCTACCCGTTACCTTGACAAGGGACACAAGAATGCTCGTCCTACGGTCAGTTCTTCCAAACCTTCTGAATGAGAGGTTGCAGATCGTGACCTAGAAGCTGTACTGGGTTTGCAAAAGTGTTTTTGTTGTTGGCACGGTATTCATTTTTATAATTCTTATTTAAAAATAATGGCTTGGGGACGCCTGGGTGGTTTAGCAGTTGAGTGTCTGCCTTCTGCCCAGGGTGTGATCCTGGGGTCCTGGGATCGAGTCCTGCATCGGGCTCCCTGCATGGAACCTGCTTCTCCCTCTGCCTGTGTCTCTGCCTCTCTCTCTCTCTCTCTCTCTGTCTCTCATGAATAAATAAATAAAATCCTTAAATTAAAAATAACAGCTTTATCCAGATATAATTCAAGTACCACATAACTCATCCATTTAAAGTGTAGAATTCAGTGGGGTTTAGTATATTCACAGAGTTGCTCAACCATCCAAATAAATTTTAAAGCATTTTCATCTCCCCTCACAGAAACTCTGTAGACCCCACTAGGGTCTCTCCTCATTTCTCCCTCCACCCTTCAGCCCCAGGGTCTGTCTCTATAGATTTGCCTATCTTTGACATTTCATATAAATGGAACCATACCTAATGTGGTCTTTTATGACTTTTTTTTTTCATTTAGCATCATGTCTTCAGGGTTTGTCCATGTAGCATGGATCAGTATTTCATTTCTTTTTATTGCCAAATAATATTCCGTATTATGGAATAGATCACATTTTATTCATCCTTTCACCAGTTCTGGATGTCAGTATTGTTTTAACTTTTTGGCTATTTTGAGGAATACTGCTATAAACAACCCTGT